CTTACGGCGATGAGAACTCTACTCTACGTCAAGCCTCGCTCTTGGTCAGACCCGACTCGGGACATCCCTCACGATGCTAGGTTTTTGAGGATCTCGGTATCTGCGCTTCAGGTTGTATAACATCCCCGTATCGAATCGTTTCTATATCAGCCTTATTGTGCTACAGTGTTTGGGAGTTCCCTTAACTTTATCGTTTGTTGCTCCTGATCGTTTTGCATGTTATCTCGGGACACTGATGACAGAACGTCAGAGCGTAGTGAAGCCCGGTTATTCTAGAACCCCACGTGGCAAAACAAGGCACGGCGCCACTGGATCAACCTCGCTATGCCCAGCTAGCACGACTGATCTTGGACCTCCACAGAAAGCGTAACAGCATGAACATAGACCTCACACTTGAATTCGTACTTCATGCTAGTCATCCCGACTTGCTGGTAGGAGTAAGCAGGGCTGTAACGCTTCTACAAACATGGCAAATGTGGGTCAACACAGCAAGATCCGGATGGTGCTCAGGCCTCCGCTTGCTTCTTGGGCTCCCACTGCTGATCAGCGACTAGCTGCAGCCTCCCATCCTTAGTTCTAATCACTTGTAAGCTACAGCAACATGCTCATGCGCCCGAATCCGCTCAGCATCAGGCGGGCTCTAGTGTGGCCACCTTTTTGGCCTTCTTGCTAGGTCCCGGCGTCTAAGCACTCTCCTCCCAAAATCCTTCTTCCTATCTTCCTTTTCAGAGGCCATCTCTGCCTGGGTCCACATGTCATCCAACTGCCACGGAGTTTGTCGTGGCTTACGAGGGATAATCATCAAAAGTGCACGAGAGAGACATTGCACGTAGCTCCGTTTTGTCACGAGAACCTCTGCGTGTGGGGGCGGCAGATGTGAGGGCCTATACTTCAGGCTTGACCGCTGGAGTCCTTGCTGTGGGCTATTTGCTAAATGGCTCCTGGTAGTGTGTCAGAATATGACGGGGCTGTCATTTTAACGTAACATAGTAAATAATATGTGCCGAATTCATAGCGCGACTCTAATTCATTCCAAACACAGAAGTTCGCCCCAGCACATCAAAGAATGCTTGATCGATTTTGACCCTAAGCCTTGCAAACCCTGAACCCCAACCGCTTGGAAACTAGAGCCCTAAACCCTAGCAGCAACCTACTCAGACTTTCGAGCACCTGGAGGTCTGGACGTTCTAGGCTTAGAGGCTCAGGTTGAACTCTCTCACAACAACCCAGATTATGAGGTGAACTGGAGGCCTCTGCTTCGCAGCTCGTTTTGGTCGTCTAAGGAATGATACAACTCTCACCCCGCACATGCACACAGCCGCATTGGCTTGTTGCTGCGCTCCTTCTATCAGGCAGATGAAAGGGTCCGTGGACTGAGTTTGCGACAGCCGGCTCCATGGAAGGCTGTGAAAATCGAAGAACACGACCTTCCAGACCTCGAGCAATCTGGGTTGTCGTGTGTGACTTCTGTGCGAAATTGGCTTTGAAATAATTAGGCTGTAAATGGCTGAAATTGGAACCGATGTCCAACGATGGCATAGACAAATGGATGACGGTAGCCATTTGCAGCAATCAGGAGGTTTCTTAAACTGGGACTGCTGCTGTTCTTTGTCAGTATCTTGTTGTCCGGTAGGGAAAGAGCCTGCGGCACGCAGGTGGCACAGCCAGACTTAGGGTCACTGTTGAGCCACAAACGCATGCACCCGTTGAAAAGGGAAGCCATCTAGACGGGAACCGGTGCCTGTTCGTGAAAGCTTGTCACAGCCCTAAAAAATGGGGAGAATGGCGGACATCTTGAAACCTTCACAACAGGAAAATCTAAGCCTTCAACCCGGAAAGTGAAAGCATCAAACCAGCCCCTGAGCCCGCATCCCAACATCCTATGCCCCAGATATCCCTAAATCAGTAAGGACCTTAACGAAGCGATTTGGCTTCACCAGGCTGCATTGCTAGCGATGGCTGTGGCAGAGAGCCAGGCAGAAAGTGATGGCACCTGAGGAAGTTTAGGATTTTTAGGGTTCATGGCATGTTCTATGATCTCAGGACTTTCTCAACATGCCGGGTCCTGATGGTAGGACTTGTTGGCATGTGGTTGATATGCGCTGGGGCTGTGGAATGTTCTTATGCTCAGGGGCGAAAGGAGCGTGCTTTTTTAGTCTTCTGATTGCCCATGCTGAGCTCTGCAATGTTCGGGACATGTATTTCATTGCCAGGGGGCGTGTGTGGGAATGGCTTCGGTCTGACGCAAACTCTCAAGCAGCCACGCAGCCCCAAGCAGCCAACATCGAAGGCACAGTTTTCGCGCGGTAGTTCAAGAACTTCTATAATATAGCAAGCCGGCTTCTCAATGTTGTCCCCTCTAATGACTCTAATGTCTTGGCGTTTCCAGATGGATATCGTGCAGAGGACACTCGATTCAGATGGAGAAGCTTGGCAATCGGGAAAAAGATTTCCTTCCCCCATGCCCACAGAAATGTCCGTTCGTCTAAGCCTTAAGCACTTGAGAAATTGAGCACATCTTGTAAGCTTGTGGGCCGGACGCAGGATTCTAAATGCGCACGCAATGCCAAGCGCTCTGCGCCTGACAAGGTGCGCTTCCGCCCGCAGATAACGCAGGAGCTAGCCTGCGCAGCCCGTGCCGGGCTCACCGCTGCTTGATCTGAGGCCCGCCGAAGGTCTTCCTCAGAATTCAGACCGTACATCTGGGCTCGGATCTTGAGAATCTGTCTTAGATGCTATACGAGTACTTTCATCTAGGATTGCTGGTGCTGAGCCCGCATTCAAAGGGCCCGTCTTCTTCAGCTCCACAGGTCACAGAATGTCCGTTCTCATCGTGGAACTTCATGGAGCCATGTGGAACCTGAATATTTGAAATGCCCAGATTCTCGACGTTGGCCAGTGCGACGTCCCAATTCACCTGAGATCTGCTGCAGACTCTGCCCTGCATCCCCATGCATGCCATGCAGTTCCTCGCTTCAAGCACTGCAGCACTGCAGCATCTAAAGCAAATCGGACCTGCTGCCGGGATGCTGCGTTGAAAAGCTCGTCGACGTTGCTCTGCTTGGCGACCAGGAGGGCTCGCTTACCTATCAGCGGAGTGTCAGATCTCACCGAGCTGTGGATTCTCTGGCGCTTAGCGTGAAGTGAAACTTTTCTGCTTGAGGTGCCATAGGGGACGGACTTGAAGAGCTCCAAGGCAAGCCCGCCGGGGCTCCTCGGAGGTTCGCACACGGAGCTCTTTGACTGCTCTTCGGCTCATTCTGGACATGCCTTTTCCCCTCGCATCTCTTTCTGACCTCAGCCAAGGAGCATCTCAGCGGCCAGCCAGACCCAGCCCTTGCCGTCATCCTCACAGCAAAGTTCAGGGACAGAAGAGACTTGTCCCCGCTTGCTCACCATGGCCCTAACTTATGGAGCTGATGCGTTCTCTGTCCAACGACTCTCCGAGCGTCGGCAACCTTCTGCGTCTCATCCACGCCATAGCCGACGCCGCCCTGTGCGGCAAGTTACTAGCAAAGACATGCCAAGACTGACCTTGCGGGCTCTAGGCCATCCATGTGTGGCTTCAATCCCCTGCCTTCGTCACGAACATCGGGTTGGCCATCTGCGCTTTCAGGCCTGCGACGCCCACACTGATGTCCTTCTTGCCAATGCTGCCTCGCCAAATAGCCCATCACATCTGAATGTTTTGAAAGATACTGCCTGCACGGCATACGCACTGCACACGTGCTTCACTCTTCTTGAATTCCAGCCCAGGGCGTCACAAAGGCTGGCCTGGGGGTGGGCCCTTCCAGAGTCCCGAGTAGCGCTTGAAGCCCTGAGGCGTGAACTCACCATGAAAGAACCTCGGATGCAAGCGGTTTGGGCATGTCAATGCCTGCAGTGCAACTGGGACATCGTGCTGCGGACTTACTGGAGTTACACGTTCCCACGGGTGTGGTGCTTGATGCTTCGCTGCTTCGCTTCTCAGCAAAGGTGCTTGACGACCAGCTCAGACAGCACGGTGCCCTTGGGGGGGTCGCCTGGAGGGAGCTTCCGTGGGTTTTGAATCTTGATGGGCTTCCACTGCATGCTGCTGTGCTTTTGCAGGGTGGGAACCACAGGTGCCAACGTTTGCTCAGGAGCTTCTTTCTTTCAGCCTACTCCCTGCGACAAAGACCCGCATCCAGAACTATCAGCACAAATAGAAGCCTCCACTGCCAGTCAGCAATGAGGAGTAGAAGGTCTGAATGTCGGCATCGCCTCAAACTCGTGCGTGTAAGCCGCCAGCACGCCATGCTACAATCACAGCGCGCTACAATCACACCAGTCATTAGCGCAGCCTAGAAAAATAGCAGCAAGCCGGCCCATCCGCCCCTACTCCGTATGTGCGTGCGTGTCTTTGCCTGCCACTCTGGCATCACCTAGATGGAGCCGCACCAGGCCCTTTACAACCTCAGGCTTCCGCTGATGTCATACTCACCGCCGCCGCGCGCCTGAAGCAAGCGGCAAAGAGGTGTTGCAGTGTTGTTCCAAGAAAGACGGTTGCTTGGGCGAAGCTCTGATCGGGTCTTACATGATGAATGTCATCAAGAATGCAAGAAAAGGCGAGCTGCACGGAATCTTATGGTACCTCTTAGGATGAGGGATGACGGGCATGAGACAGCGTAGACTGAACACTGCCTTACAAGACTTGGCTCTATGCTCCGCAGCCACC